GACGACCTGGCAAACACTTATACTGAGAGAGTTACGGGAAGTTGTGCTGCATCAATCCCATGATAGTTTAACAGGAGGACATCTCGGAAGTAAGAAGACATTGCGTAACCTATGACAAAGAGTTTACTGGATAGGTATGAGGCAAGATGTGGAAGAATGGTGCAGGACATGCAGTACATGTTGTGCTAAAAGGGGACCCAAGCATAAGGGACGTGCTCCAATGAAGTTATATCAAGTCGGTGCACCAATGGAAAGAGTAGCCATTGACATTGCTGGTCCTTTGCCCCAAACTTGTGCTGGAAACAGATACATTTATGTGGTGATGGATTATTTCACCAAGTGGCCTGAGGCATATGCAATACCAAATCCGGAAGCTACAACTGTAGCTTCGGCTATTAGTGATTTCTTCTTCGGATTTGGTATGTCATACGAACTGCATTTGGATCAAGGCCGTAACTTTGAATCAGCTTTGAAAAGTTTTGTAATAGCTGCCAAGATGACTGGGATGTCTTACTCCCTCCACTGTTGATGGCTTATAGAACAGCAGAGCATGAAGCCACTGGATACACTCCATCAAAGCTGATGTTTGGTTGGGAACTTCGGTTGCCCGTGGATCTGATAACAGGACGCCCACCTTACAAAGAGTTACCTGAAAATGTGTCAGAGTTCGTGAAAGTGTTATCTGAAAGGATGGATGATATTCACCATCAAGTGCGTTCAAACTTGAAAATGTCTGCTGATTCGATGAAGCTATGTTATGATACGAGATCTACTGAAGTCAGCTTTGTACCAGGAGACAAAGAGTGGTTGTATAATCCCAGGAAGACCCCTATGACATAGTGGATCATCTCTCAGACGTGACTTTCTGAATAAAATGTGGTCGGCGAGGTAAGCCAAAGGTGGTGCATGCCAACAGGCTTTGGCGTTATCACGATCCAGGACATTTCAGTTGGAACGAAGTGAACAATGGAACAAATGACGCTGCTGAAGATTTGTCACCTGAAAAAGCCATTGTCGAAGAAGAAACTCTACCTGATTTCCAGAAGGGAAACAGTGAAGCCCTTAATGAAGTTACTACCACTGATGTGACTGTTACCGATAATAGGACATTTCCTGATGGAGCAGATGAACCCCATGTGAAGCAGAAGCCAACGAGACAGAGACCAGTACGGAAGAAGATACGTACCGTAAAAGTAAGAGACTTTGTTGAATTTTAATTTTGTGTTTGTAAATTCTGTACATTTAATTAAGTTATTGTTAATTATCAATTGGTTTATTGTAAATGGCTATTGTTCGGGACGAACAATGCTAAGGAAGGGGCAGTGTTACGACAGCGGAAGTCACGCGACGCTGGGAGCATGCGCGCTGGAGTTTCTAGAAGGATCATGACTTTTCCTTCTAGTCTGTTCCAGGCGCCCTCTTTTTTAGTATATAAGCCTGGCAAATAAAGCGGAGAAAGAATGGCAGATAGATAGATATAGAGACAGATAATTGAGTCAAGCGAGCGGTAGTTTGTGTTTTGTTATCGAGATCAAATGTATTGACTGTGTAAATTCTGTGTATTGCAAAGTTGTATCGAGAAAGAATAAACTAGTTTTAGTTAAGAAAGGACTTGTATCGCTGAAGTTTCTCGGAAAGAATTTCTACGGGAAATTAACAAACAATCAGATACGCAACAATAAGACTAAGGTGTGTTGTGTGTGTAATGAAAAGCGAATAATAAATAAATAAAGATAAATTCTTGGCCACCACTTAGCGTTGAATTTGAGTTATGCGCCGAATTTTAGTGTTATAATCCTCCAAGCTTACCTCTACGCCACTGTTGGGGGTAGATGGCCCCTTCAGCTTAATTTTGTTTGTTTGTAATTAGGTACAAAGCTCTGGCCACCACGGGTATCGAAACCCGGCTTCTAGCGTTGTAAGTCCGCAGACATACCGCAGTGCCACTGGGAGGGGGGGGGGCTTAAGCATAAACTGTAGTATATGCATTTGAGCAGAATCGTTAATATTATTTCATTGTGAGGCAACAATAATTCAAATAAATACCAATATTGCACCATGGTTATTCTTCAAAGCGTTGTATTTGAGAGTTACCTGGTAGTTGTGCATCAAAATTAAAACAAAAAATGTCTATGACACAAAACAGATATACAAATAAAGAATTTTCGTAACACATTATCTAGAAATTCTTATTAAGTCATTGCCCCTAGTAACACAGCGGTAAGTTCCAGACTTATACGCTAAAAACCGGGTTTCGATACCCGTGGTGGGCATAGCACAAAGTTTGTGCTTAACTACAAACAAACGCCCCCCAGTGGCATGTCTGCGGACTTATAATGCCAGAAACCGGGTTTCGATACCCGTGGTGGGCAGAGCACAGATAGCCCTTTGTGTAGCTTTGTGCTTAATCACAACAACAACTACAAACAAACATGTTATCAGATTATATTGAAATTAAGTGTTTGTTTGTTATTGTTTTTTACGCTATCATTACACAAATTTACACATATTCTAAAACATAAGCATTTGTTCAGTAAAGAACTCTAATAAATTTATTATTATTATTACAATGCTAAACAAATGTTTGTACTATAATTAATATCGTTTCTTACAAATCTATAATTCGAGTTCTTAATAAAAGATTAGATCAGCCTCTGGAACTGCAGGTAATAAAATACTCATCTATCTCATGATAAACTTAAACTTCGAGTTAAAAAAAAATAAAATAGAAGATTGTTAATTTGTTTGCTTACTTTCTCTGTAAACAAATACATTCGTAAAAACATTTTAACACGCATTGCGGTGTTTTATTTAAGACTTTTCAAGTAATTTTCTTTGATATTACTAGGAACCGAGATAACTTATTTTAATTTCTATCTTTTGACATGTATATTCTATATAATAAATCTATTTTATTTTCAAAACTGTCACCTGTAAAAGTATTAATTAATTAGATTTTTTTACGTTACTTACCTTTATTTAGCCGTTGCTTTAAAACAAACTTACTATCGGCGTATGGTGTAACTAACTCTTTGCACTTGCAGAGCTGAGACGAAAAAGGTCCTTCCTGTCACGTTTTCCGGTTCCACGTTTCCACTTGAACATCTTTCCAGTCGGGTCTTCCTGGAGGTGAAGTTATATTTCCTTCATATATATATATATATAATGTACGTGTATTCGTATATATATATAAATTCATTTTAAACACAGTTGTTTTTGTTTTCATTGGCTTTGACAAACGACAAAAAATAAATGCTCATCAGACAGTAATATTTTTTGTAGCTCAAACAAACAATTTTTCAAGCGGCCTGATCTTAAACCAGACACGTCAAAAGCCGCTCCAGAGCTTCTGAATTCATTAAGTGTTATGTTAAAGTTCTACTTTTTTTGTCTTATTTTTGTTCTATGCTGCTCATCTTGAAACTCGATTATTATCTTCTTTTTTTTTATAGAAATTCCGATGTTATATTTCATTTTATTTTAGATCTTTCATCAGATAATACTGTTGTAAGAGTATCTGTTGTTAGACAGATTATTTTGAATTATCAGATAAAAAGAATGCAGTCCAGTCAGTTTAACAATAGCAAAAAAACTTGTACTTCTTCAACTTTAAATTCCACGTAACCAACTTCCACTAATAGGCCTAACTTTAAAAATAAACTAATTCTCACAGGGACTAGGCATGGCTAGGTGGTTAGGGCGCTTTACTCGCAATCTGAGGGTCACGGATTCGACTTCCCGTCCCACCATACATGCTCGCCTATTAGCCGTAGGGGCGTTATAATCTGACGGTCAATCCCACTATTCATTGGTAAAAGAGTAGCCCAAGAGTTGGCAGTGGGTGGTGATAACCAGCTGCTATCCCTCTAGTCTTTCTCTGCTAAATTAGGGACGGCTGCAGATTGCCCTCTGGTAGCTTTGCTCGAAATTCAAAACAAACCAAATTTCTCACAGAATTTCCACTTTCTTATTTTGTATCTCTATTTATTTGCCAAAATAATACAAACTCAATATTCACAGTACTGTGCCCCCAATGGCACAGCAGTATGTTTGTGGACTTACAATGCTAAAAACCGGGTTTCGATACTCTTGGTGGGCAAATTACAGATAGCCCAATGTGTAGCTTTGTGCTCAAACTACAAACAAACCAAGTACTAACTAACTGGCTAATTAGCTGACAATAACAGAAAACTAACTAAATCATGCACGTATTACTCATTAACTGATTATCAAACTCAATGTAATAAGCCCCCCCCCCCTGGTGTTTCAACGTTAAGTATGAGAGTCTATAACGCTAAAAGTCGGGCTCGATACACACGGTGCGCAGAACACAAATAGCCCATTGCATGTTTATTGCTTAACAACAAAAGAAACAAACAAAATAAAAACACTTTAACAAACCCGTTTGTTTATTTTAGTCTAATTCGGTTTTTATTTATGATTCAAATAATTTCCAAACTTTGAAAAAAGTTTCAAGCATTAAGACCACACACATCACCTTACCTTAAACGTCCTTTCAGTACAACAACAACAGCACACGAAGTGGTTTGTGTATGATTATACTACGCAACTTAAAGTTCTTTATTCTACAAATACTGATAACGGTAGTGGACATTTTGAACATGTAATGTATGTAATGTAATGTAATGTTAGATCGATTCAACGATCATGCAGGTATAGCTTAATCGTGAAGAAAAGTTTATTGTGTTACTTGTAATTTCTTTTTCCTTTATTTACTGAATAGTCTATGTTTTAATGTCAGACACGACCAGTCTACCTACACTGACTGACCACTTTATTAGGACCACAAATAAATTGTTTGTTTGTTTTGGAATTTCGCTCAAAGCTACACGAGGGCTATCTGCGCTAGCCGTCCCTAATTTAGCAGTGTAAGACTAGAGGGAAGGCAGCTAGTCATCACCACCCACCGCCAA